TATAATATATGTATATTTATTATATAAATTATGTATATGTGTATATTCGGACACTGTTATTATTTTATCTATTTGTTATAATATATATTGTACTGTTATTATGTATCTATCTGTGTATGTTATACATAATATACACATTAATAATACAATGTATACATTTATTTTTGCAAGCCTATAATTGAGATGCTGCATTGCTGTTGGCAGGTAAATAATTAAACGAAATTTAAAACATTGAATATTCGAGAGGGTCATTTACCGATGATAATGCAATTTCAAGGCAGCACCTCGGTAGCATATTACCGAAGGCATGAGGAGAATGCATCCACATTAGGAAAACGCGTATAGTTTAATCCTCCTTGGTTTAATCATGGTTTAATGAACTTAGCAGCATGGTGGTGAAAGTGATAGGCCTGCCCATCATCATCTGCAGCATTATCTATTCTTGATACCTTCCGTCCCACGTCACCTACCATAATATATTTATTCCTAAACTGTTGATGATAGGCTATTATGAGGGGTCAATGGCGTGGAGTTTAATGGCTTGGTACTAAGATGGTTCCTATCCCACGGTCCTGGGTTCAATCCCTATACCATGCACAACTTTTCCTCGTGACGAAAATCACCAGAAAGTGGTGTGTGTCTTAAAATATAGGAAAGGATAATCAAACCAAACTCAGTTTAGTTTAATAATTCATGAAAACATATTTGATAAAAGTAACATCGGCGAAAAGTTAAAGTGAATACACAAAAATGTGCAGTAGGCCTATGTAAAAAATATTAAAACATAAGATATATCATTAGGAATTTTAAATTTTTACGAAGCTAACAATTTTCTATAAATATGAGCTATGGACGGTTATTGAGTTCTTATGTTCGATGTCGAATGTATGAAATGTGTAGGCTGCCGGCACCTTGACCTCTGATGATTAGTGCCTAAACATTTTCACAAAAACGTGATGCAATAATGACAAAATTATTGTTATTTCAGCCGATCCAAGTTGCTTTCCTATTCTTCTTTTTTCTGTGCTTCTTCCATATTTACATTAAATTTAATTTATTTTACTAAATAACATATATCTTATATATATATATATGTATATGTATATATTATATAATATAAATATATATTACATATTCTAACTAGACTCTAGACCTAGTGCGTATACATTGTGTCTGCTTAACATAATTTCAATCTTTGTCAATCTAAAGTCGAAGGTATGTCCTTGTTCCCGACCCTTTTATGTTCACTTGGATAGCCTTACCTTCATAGGACTTCTACGAATGGATACCTTGTTTGAAGCAAGAAACCATGTTGTCTTTCTCCGGTACCGCTCGTCTATTTTTTCGTGTGGGAAACATTTTATTTAGACCTGGTCACATTTCATTCAACATCACTTTGCAATCGAAGATGTGAGGAACATATTACGTTATATATGATATGATATTACGTTATACAAACACCTGAAACCCGTATCATATGTATTTAATGCTGGAAATATGCAAGGAGATTTTTTAATGCTCGTTAATTTCCCATTACCGTGCAACAACTGTCAATTTTACGCAATAAATTTAAAAAATAACCCCGACATTTATCATGGTGCTCCCATAGAACCGAAATTTATCCAGCTGAGGAGGATGATTTCATATAATAGGCTATTGAAGACTACGAGACTATTGTCTTAGTCATCATAATACCATCATCTTATTCATCAGCACTATCATTATTAACAGAGGCAGGGGTGGCGCCTGGATTTGCCTTACCGGGTGTCCGATGTCCCCAACGGGGAGGGGGGCGACTCCCTGACGAGAACGTAAGTGGGCGTGATCGGGCGTCGCTCAAAATGTCTCGGAAGTGAAGTGAACCAAACTACGACAATTTAGGGGTTTCAAGGGCTTATTTATACGATTTTACACTCTACTGGATAATAATAAAAATATAAACTGGCAGTAAACACGAGGCAATTTCTTTCTCATCGACGTCTAGGCGTATAGGCTTACCGGCACACATAATTCTGAGTACTGGATGACAAGTTTTTGCGCAATATGTGTGTCACAATGTTTTTAAACATCGTTGCCCAAAGTCAGAATAGCCAGAGCAACATGACTGAAAATAGGCTCCCAGCGGGAGCGTGTGCTGCCTAATTTTATAGAAACGATGACGTGGAAAATGATTAATGATTTAATGGTTTATCATGAGAGAAAGTGGGGTGTTGATATACTCTCATGTATAATTGCCTATTCATATACACTACAGTACACCATGGTCCTGTTAATACATTACAGTGACAGTAACATTCTTATCCTGTTACCAGGACTGTTCCTGTTACTAACCACACATAAGATGTCCACCTACAAGTGACCTCCCCCGGAATTAGTAAGGTCAAACTTTGTGTCAACTTATATAGTGTCTACTGCTCCCTGAGGGGCAGTAGACACAACAACAGCTTCCTATTTAGATCGCAATTTACCGTTTCCAATTTTATATGCACATCGTTCCGAATCATTACGTCGCTGAGTACATGCTAGGCCTATACCTTATTACTGTATAATGTTAATTCAAAAAATTCAAATCGAAAAAAATATCAACCAAGTCTTTCGGATGGATTGGTCACGATTTATTAAGTTTTCGCAACGTAAATCAGATGATAATGATGTCTACTTCCATAGTTTGTATATCCGACAAAACTGGAAATACATTCGTGACATAACGCCTATTGGTCTTGTTTTCTCGGTTAGGCTGTCGGTACGATAGATGCACTAAACAAATGGTAGGCCTAGACTTGGTTGATATGTTGTGGTATGATGTCCACATAATTATTCAGCAACAATAGTTTAGCATTGCATTAAATGATGCAAATATACGCAGTAATTTTGTAACGCCTACCTCGATACACCTACAATGGTATATTAATATATTGAGGACGATACCATAGCCATAATGTAACCAAACGTTAATTTACGCCATTCTATTTTTCTACATCACTTATTTTGCAATGGTTATCAATCAATCAATTATACAATCAATCAATTAAACAGTTAAGTGGCCAATCGACCAATTATTATTTAACCAATCAAATATATTGGTCAACTAATCAATAAAAACTATATACATCAATCGATCGATACATTAATAGAAAAAAATAAATAAATTTATCAATTAATCAATGCCTCGATCAATTAACCGACCAATAAGTAGAAAACAGTCAAGCATCTAATTATCTATACAATCAATATCAATAAATCAACCAATCAGTCGATCCATCAATCAATCAAGCAAGCAAATAGCCAAAAATTTATTCAACCAATCAATCGATAATTCTATCAATTTATCGATTAAACAATTCATATTTCCATCGATCATCTATCAAGCTGCAGATCATTTATTCATTCATCCATCCATCTATTCATCTATCTATCTATTGATTGAAGAATTCATCAATGCATCAATCAATCAACCAATCAATCAATCAATTATTCAACCTCCAATCAATTAACCAACCAACCAATCAACCGATCAATATGAATCAATGTATCGATTAATCAATTCATATTGATCATCTATCCAGCCGCAGAACCTTTCATCCATCTATCCATCCATCCATCTATGTTGATTGATGAATTAATTAATGCATCAATCAATCAACCAATCAACCAATCAGTCAATCAATCAATCATTTAATCAATTATTCAATCAATCAATCATGAATCAATTAATCAATGAACGTATCCACATTTCATTTTAGTTTTTATTAAATAGGCCTACTTCTTATAATAAGTCAACATTCACCACAACAGCCTATCTACTGTATACATTACAATCAATACAATGAACGTCCAAAATCTATTAAAGATAACGAGTCAATAACCGAATTAGTTGAATTCGTGTTAATCAAATTATCAAACAAGTTTTTAATTACATGAATGTGATATCTTGGGCCTTCATTTGTACAGCGGTGTTGAAACATATTATTAAGATCGCATCAGTGTACTCAAACAACGAGGCATCGGCAACAATTTCAAAACCAATTAATTCCCCTTCTACCTATCGTGCTACAATCATAAATCTTCGAAAGTGTGTGAAGAAAACGATAACTAATTACATGCGATATCTAAACAAAAATCACAAAGAATTAGAATAGATTAAATATGGAAGATTATTATTAGTATAATATTCTCCGGTTTCGTCTTCGGCAATCTATTATTTGAACAAGTTCTAATCACCTTAGAGCAGAATGGACCATCGATCTGTTATAATACACAGTTTTTGATTTGTGAAATTACCGGTTGGCAAAGCATAACGTATACTGTACTACCTTGCGTACACCTCTCATTCATAATAAATAGACTTCCTTTAGATAGAAAGTGATATCGGAAGCCCAAAGCCTTTGATAATGTCTGAGGAATTTAACATTCATGTCAATCTCACCACAGTTTAGTTCCGATTAGCTTTTGCCATTAATATGATGGACCATGTTTATTATAATACTTTTCAAGTATTATTGGCAATAATGAATAATATATGGTGATGATAGTATTACTGATAATGATTGCAAATAAATAAATAAAACATTTAAAAAAAATAAAAGCATTTGTTCACATTCTATGTAATTATAAGGCAAATCGTTTAACCAGTGAGTAAACAATTGTATATATCCAACGAAGAACTAGTGCTGTTCAACAACGCATGTGCAAAAGGGTGTGCAGTCTGAGTTGCTTTATTTGGATTTGAATTCCCAACGAATCCTCAATGGCCCATGGTTAAGGCATCTGCACAGATAGCTACTTTTTCACACTCGCAGATTCCTCTTTAACGTGAATTTATATATTTATTAAAGCTTTACCACCAGACGGCCTAGAGTTTGTCTCTACATAGAGTATAGAATATTTCGACTACTCCTGTAGTATTTTGTTAACGCTTGATTTTATGTTATATATCAATCATTTGATTAGTGATGTGCTCATTTTGTTGGAGTATCAATTCCCCTGCCTCAAGCCCGTCTTTTTACTCCATTTTTCTCGATCTATCACGTCATCACTCTTAAAAGACTCAGGGGTTAAGAGATCTGCTATCCTTTTATTGGGTCATGACAAGATCAATATCATAACATGCATTAATAATGATTTATTTTAAAATTATCTTACCTATTTTGTCAATAAGGCTCTGGATTTTTTGACAAACTTGATAGTGATCTAATAGAATTTTAATCGTAGGCACTATAGGCCTATCTGTATCATTTATGAATAGGCTTATTAGCTACCCTATTTTATCTACCGGGTAGTTATCAATAATGGTTTTTATATAGGCCTACTTAATGATCATAGTTAATAAACAGCAAATGTGAAATATTATAGCAAATTCCAAGTAAAATCTCTTATGTCATTATTTCATTCGACATACTTGAAACCCTATCTTACTGCATACTGGAAACCCATCTTCGGCTTCGTAAGCCTACTTCAGTATATATAATAATGTTGTTAGTTTTATAGTGTAATTATTTTCAAGGCCTCGAGTGCTTCACATAATGTTATACCTACCTATGGATAAGAGCAGCTCTTTGATTTCGATCAAATTCTAGAACACATACTCAGCTCCCTAAGGAAGAGCATCCCATAATGATGCTACTAATCATGGCATCGGCATACTTTTGAACCTGCCAACCCACTTTACATTAGAAAAGCTAAAGATGTATGTCCCCTGAAAAAAACAAAAAAAATCATTAAAAATAATTATGAAATTACCTTGCTCATTTTGAAGTAACATACAAATTATTAACTTCAGAATAGAAATTATTGAATTTTATTTTAATGTGTAACCTGATTTCTGTACTGAACAAGATGCAAATAATAAAAAACTTCCAGCGACTAGAAGTGTTTTATCATTTTTCGCTGTAAAATTATGGGTCAAAATGTTTAAATGCACTATTTTTATGTTCATTAAGTTATGTTACTTTCACTGATTTTCAGGATATTTCTTTGGTATTTTTCAATACAATGCATCTTTAAACAACGTGGACTTGTTTTTTGCCGAAGACATACATACATACATAGAACACTTATATTGAGCCTTCTCCAGACTATCACATTTCGTCGGACCATACATAGTGAAGGTGTGCCTATATATGGTCATGATGTGATGTCATCATGACCATATTTAGGCATATCCCATATTTGTCAGATACAATTTTGTTTGGACAGGGCCTTTAACCCCATTTTCATCTAAAATCCAAAAATTAAAATCGGCCTAGCCTGTAGTGCCAAACCTTGACAGACACTTACTATATCTAACTTCAATAGGTCCACTTGGTCGAGGTGCCCCAGGACATATATAAAGTTAGGTATCTCAGAGGTGCCTAGAGGTGCCTGATCTTCGAAGAAAAGACATGTTTGGTGGAACAACTGCGACTATGGTAAAACCACGTTTCCGACAGGTAGAACCCCATCTTGAACTTCCATCTTCGCTATAAGTGGCATTCTGTCTCTTGTGTACCTCAGTGCCTGAACGACATCTTCGACACACGTGGAACTCTTTCGACATACGTGGGAACCTAATTTTCGACATTCGTAGAATCCCCATTTATAAGCCTTGACAGCCTCCACATTCAACATACGTAACCCGTCTTCCTTCACCATTGTTACGTAAGCCTTTCTAGTTCACACATTGTTATGTTAATCTAAACTTCGGTTGACCTGGGATTCCTTTCGCTCTTTAGAAAAACAAACGTCATAAAAGCCACCGTGATGCGATTCAAGAAATGAAGGGATCACTGTATAATACGAATTATAATTTTCCCGGAGGTTCTATATTTTGACCATTATGTTAATACACAATGTGAGATGGTGAGATCATTAAACATGTTTTTTTTTTTTTTTTTTTTTTAATACCGCACTCATTAAGTTTTACACTACCAAATGTCATGGTTGGTATAATCTTTTGTAATTGTTTTCTATATTATTTATAACATGAAATTACCGGTACCGGTATGTATTCTGTACATATTATTACAGATAAAATACGAATGCTATGAGTGTAAAACAATTGAATAATTTTAATGTTGTTGAAATGTGCGACGTGTCGTCAGTGTGAAGAGTTGTTTTTCCTACTGCGTGTAAAATAAACTTTATAATTTGATAATTATCATAGTTGGCGGTTCATTACAAGTTGTCTTTCACGTGTAATATACACTGAGGGAATTAGAGACGCACATTAAAAGAACAGGGTTGGCGTGTTTCCGAGAGAATATAAATTTAATTTAGTATAATCTGTCACGTACAGAATACGATCTTTGATGATATTATATCATTTCAGATCTTATTGTAACACATCATGTCATGTCATATCATATTCATGCATGACACCAAATCGATATATGTAATATCATTTATCATATATCATTAAGTTATCATACCAAATTGAAGAAACAGGGTTGACGTGTTTCGAACAGACCATAAATATAATTATGATAACGTAGCTTTGACTTTATCATTTCATATACCATATCATGTCATATCATATCATGTCATATATATACAGTATATCATAATTACCATATAGCTGCATATCACATCATTTCATGTCATATCATAATATAGGGCCTAATACCAAAACTTCGAATAGAAGCCCAATTGGCTTAATATCGAAAAGCCCATTTCGAATTGAAGCCCCCTATTTAGTTTGCAAATGTAGCTTCGAAAAGAAGCCCATCCCGAAAAGCAGCCCATGGACGTCTTTTCAAGGTAGGCCTATGTCATTTGGTCGTGTCGTAATGGTGTCTAGTGTAAATGTGGCTTAAAGCGAGGGCACTTACTGCGCCCGACGGTCGTCGGCCGACGCGATTCTATGGAGAACGCTATGTCACGACGCGTGCAATGGATCGTTTTCAGTTACGATCCGTTCAGGCTGCCACCGACAATCAGCATACCGGCGTCGTGTCGTCTAACGCTCGCAGGGAGCGTAGTTGGATTTGTCGTGCGTCTAGTGAGTGCCCGGCTTAAAATACATTAATCAAACGTATCACGTATAAATAGGATCAACATGGGATAATTAATAATTAGGCCTAAGTGGTTTTTATTTTGTAAGTTAATCCGTCATTATTCATTACAATACCATCACCATAAACAAGTTTTCGAGAGATTGCCTTCGTGATGCACTATAATAACAATCGCTGTGTTTTCGCAGAACCGTAATAGACAACACGGGATTTCATTTATGGTAACATAATAAGCATAACACGCATTATGTCTATTCTCATCGTTGTACTAGCATTCTTTGCCATAGAAATAGCATAGACCTAGTATACCATGTATTGTTCATGATAAAATTGAATACACACGCACGCACATCCCTTATTTTTGAAAATACAGGTGTCCCTCCAATTAGAGATCATTTTTGGGACCGGGGTTTCTATGTTCTTTAGCAGCTTTGACTCTAATTAGAATAATAAAGATAAAAGACATTTGTTAATATTGGGCCACAAAAGTGGTTTTTAATTGAAGGTGGTCCTTAATTGGAGAGGTTTTTAATTATTATTATATTATGACCAGGTAAAATTACTATATATTCATAATACAATAAATCTAAAACTCACACTGATAGATATGAAAAATAAATGTACAATAATACCGTAACTATTAAAAATATAGAGCAGTGCAACTAAATTTAGCTTTACAGTTTGAATATTATATGAATGTCAATACATATATAGGCCTATATATGATAATGATAATTAAAACAATACTTTTAAAAATTACGTACATCTATTTGCTTAACGCACTCAAGAGAAAAATGGACAATAAAGCCCAATAGAACCTCCCAACTAATTACCATAACACGTAAAATAAAGTGTCGCATGTTGTAACTTATATTTCATATCATATTCTCCACTTTAACCATTATAGCGTCGTGAATTTAAGGTATTTGCTGCTGCTTCAAAATTGTTGTAGTAGGTTGCCCGTGACCTCAATGTCTAAGTTTGTAGGCTGTAGAAAAATATAGGCGATCGTAATTACTTTAGTATCGCATTTCAATACCACGTGTCAGTAGCCAACTATCTGAATATGAAATTACGTTACGTCATTTGCGTTAATTAAACAATCGGAGGTTTTTTTTAACCAAAATGTTAAAATAACTTTTAAATTATTTTATCATGTGACCAAGCTCCCTCACATATTTTGTTCATGCTCATGAGAGCAGCTTAGCTCATTCGGCTAAACTGTGGCGCACTGTGTGTGCGCTGAACTGTGACTCCTGGTCCCCAGTTCGCTGCTCTTCTTGTATATTTTCAGCTGGAGGGCTGAAATGCAAGTTACGATAACGTTTAAGCCGTTGGTACCGTGTGCATTTAGGGCCCATGTGCATGTTAAAGAGTAGGGTATTGTCTCCCGGTCGTGTACACTGTCCAGTCACCACCAGCGACCCCACTGGAATTACGTCTTCTTCAGACTGGGTTATCTTTGGTGTTTTCACCGAATAAATCCATCCATCCATGTTCATTTTTCATTATATAGTTCAGCAGGGTTAATGTATCCGATATCCATTTATTGAACCACTAGAGAATTATGAGCACCCGTAGTGTCAACTTAAAAGTCCCTCTTAAAGCTTTGATAATTGGATAATTATGCTAAAACGAATTGGGTCATTTAGATAGCAATAACATATTCCCAACTCATCTCACTATTTATAATGGTGGTGTAGAGCTTTTACGTACACAATGTGTGGTTTATTATCATATGATTTAATTGGGACAGGCAATTAAGTACAATTTAAGTAGCTTTTAAGTAACATAGGTCAGAATAAATGCTGACAGCAATTTAATATTAGACTCGTTTTATTAGCTGTGATTAAGGATTTCACGTTATTTTAAAGTGCCTTTGATTATGTTTTTCTGGTGTATATTTGCATTTCGTTTCCTATTCTTTTACAAGTCTCTCTCCAATTAAAGACCATTTTTGGGACATGTCTCTAATTAGAATAACGATAAAAGACATTTCTTAATATGGGACCACAGAAAAGAGCATAGTAACAAATGTGAGAATAAAATACGCTGACAGCAATTTAATATTAGACTCGTTTTATTAGCTTTGAAAGGGTGTCACGTTATAAAAAAAAATTTTTAAAGTGCCTTTGAATATATTTTTCTGGTGTATACTTGCATTTCGTTTCCTTTTCTTCTTTAACACGTCTCTCTCCAATTAAAGACCACTTTTGGGACCGGAGTTTCCATGGCTCTAATTAGAATGATAAAGATAAAAGACACTTGTTAATATGAAACCTCAGAAAAGTGGTCTTCAGTGCGGTCTTTAATTAGAGTTTACCGGTACTTCAAATAAGACACAAAAGTAGTTTAGTTTTTGTTGAATTACAGATTAATTGGATTAATAACACCTGTAAAACATATCATTATTATTATATATTTATTTAGTTTGTTATCTCTACTTGTATTGAAAATTAATCATGTATCACTGTCCAAGGACGGGCGCGGATCCATTAGGGAGGCACGGGTGAACGTAAGTTTTGCCACTAAATTGGAAAATATAAATGCAAAAAGGGCCTATCAATGTTTTGTATTGAAATAAACGCTACTCACTACTATTATGAAAATGTTGTACCCTACCCCAACCCCCCCCCCCCCCTCCGTTTTAAAATTCTGGATCCGCCCGTGTCACATACATAATATACATATCATGCTCTGCAAGTGAGAACAAAATCTATGGGCTGTATTATTTAATATTGGGGCTGAATTATTTAATAAATAAAGAAAAATAAATAAAACGTATAGTTTTAACTAATAAATATCTTATATAAATTGTGTTAGTCAAAACAAGGTGATATCCGCTTTACATAAATTATAGTAGATTATGTCGCTTTCTCAGACAATACGGTTGTTATGCACCCAATTCGCTGGCCATGTATATCTCAGTGTATGTTATGTAAGAGAAACATTGCATATGTGCAGTGGATCGTTGGAAAAACTAATGGTGTCGCACGATTTGAACCCAGGGCCTGGAATACAGGCAGGCACTACAAAGATACAGTTCCACTCTGGGAGTGTATGCACATATCATTTTGGAATGATAATGTAAGTTATTATAACGTACTTAAATACACACACCAGCTATTTTTTTTTCCAAGTTTACGACAGACAGTATACGTTGGTTAAAATCTAAATTGCTAATAGTAGACATATATATGTTTGTAAAAATAATTTATTGTGAAATGCAGTTAGTGTGAAACGTGTTGATATATGAACTGTTATAAGTAGTCCATCGACAGACTTCGTTAATTTCTAAGACACGTCATTCGGAAGTCCTTAGACGGATAAGCGTCAAGTATAACAACAGGCCAAATGAAAATTACATCCATCCTTGCTATCATCAAGTTGTTGCGCATCCCCATTAGGACAAGGAGAGTAATATTGTTCGTTAATTGACGAAACCATAATTTAAACCAAATTAAAAATCTACGGTCAAACGAGGAGGTTAATTCCATTGTTTTATCTAACAGTTCTTGGTGATAAAATTTAAAACGATGTAACTGTCTACCTTAAAACACTGTAATCCATTTACAACAGCTCTCTGCTAAGCTGGTATTTGATCGTTATTGGACCGATTCTTCTTTCTTAATGCATTAGATTTGCTACGCCTAATATATTTCGGTGATATGAGATATGAGACGTTCATCTGACACAATTATATGTCAATATAATGATGCAATATGTGAGGTGTCGTGACGTGACAAAATGAGTCTTGTGGTACAAAAAATGAAAAATGAGTTATTGATAAATTTAGATATATTATTACTATATCAGCTTTATTTTGGTCTTTGAATATGTTCTTAAGTTGAGTGAAACCAGAGTAACATCG